AGGTACCTTGGGTGTAGCAGAGTCCACACGAAGAGGGGCAAGGTCCGAGGCAGAGAGCCGGGCGGGGAACAGGAGTGCTGGAACAGGAGGCTGTGCAGGGAACAGGAACACCGGATGGTCGGGAACAGGAGGCCGAGCAGGGAACAGGAGTACCGGATAGTCAGGAACAGGAAGCCGAGGCAGGGATCAGGAACACAGGAAGGTCCGAAGCCAACAACGACGTTGCTCCCGCAACCTGGGGCCGGGCTGACTGGGCTTTATCCTCTTCTAAGGCCAGGGGCGGTCCCGGTCCCCAGGAGCCCCGCCTCCTCTGGCCTTAAGGCGAGCACTCCTCCTGGGGGCAACCAGTTCCCTTCGCCTCTCTGCCCTAAGCCTCTGCAGATCAGGAGAGGCCGAGAGGGTTACTGGGCCCTGGAGGAGGCTCACCTGTGGCCACTGAGTCATCAAGCCCCTCTGGGGCCCGAAGGGCTTCACCTGGGGCCAGCTCCTGATGCACTGCCACAGGTGCAGGCTCTTCAGCATCAAGGCCTTGCCCCAGTTCAGCCGGCCCTGGAGGCGGGGACTCCTGTGCAGGCCGGGATTCCTCTGTTTCATCCTCCGAATCGGAATCCCAGGCCATCACACCATCCCCCTCCCAGGCCCCCCTCACCCGCGGGTCCGGACCCGCCAGGCCGGGACACGACGCATGGAACTCTCGGAGGCAGGCAGGTGCATGGACATTGGCCGCTGGGTCCCAGGACCGGTCCTCCGGTCCGTACCCCTTCCAGTCAATGAGATACTGCAGCTTTCCCCTGCGGTATCGGGAGTCCAGGATGCGTTCCACCTCGTACTCAGGCTCTCCCCGAACCAACACTGGCTGCGGTCGGGGACGGTTCTGGTGGAACTCGTCGGGTGGGGCCACCCGGACTCAAAGGGACCTGTGGAAGACCGGGTGAACCTTCAGGGTTGCGGGTAACCGGAGACGGAATGCCACAGGAGAGATTTGGTCTACGATAGGGAACGGGCCGGTGAGCGGGCGTCCAGCTTCCGCGAAGGTCGAGAGGGGTGGAGGTGGCGAGTGGAGAGCCAAACCAGGTCACCGGCGCGAAGTTCCGGCCCCACCTGGCGGTGGCGGTCGGCCTGGGCTTTGTACGCTTCCTTGGCCTGGTGCAGTTGCTCCACCAAAAGCTGTTGCTGGGACTGGAGCTCTTGAAGCCACTCCGTCACCGCCGGGACCGCGGATGCCGGCAGCACCTCTGGAAACAGCCGTGGATGATAACCATAACTGGCCTGGAGCGGGGTCTGCTGGGTGGACGCATTCACCGCGTTGTTATAGGCGAACTCCGCCAATGCCAGGTGGTCGACCCAGTCATCCTGCTGGTAGCTGCAGTAACACCGGAGGTACTGCTCCAGCACCGCGTTCGCCCGTTCCGTCTGGCCATCGGTCTGTGGGTGGTAGGCTGACGAGAGGCAGACCTCTGTCCCGAGGGTCTGGTGTAATGCTCGCCAGAACCGGGATGTGAACTGAACGCCCCGGTCGGACACCACGCGCTCAGGTAGTCCATGCAGGCGGAAGACATGCTGAAGGTACAGCTGAGCAGTTTCCTTGGCTGTGGGTACAGATGGACAGGGAGCGCAGTGCACCATCTTGGTGAAATGGTCGGAGAAAACCAGAAGGCAGGTACAGCCACGAGACGAGGGTAAGTCCACTACAAAGTCCAACGAAACTGTGTGCCAAGGGCGCGGTGGAACTGGCAATGGCTGAAGTAGGCCGGGGGGTCGCCCGGTAGGCCCCTTGGCGCGTCGGCAGACATCACAGCCAGCAACGTAGCGAGCCACGTCAGCCTTCAGGCGGGGCCACCAAAACTCACGACTGACCAGATGGGTGGTCCGATACCGTCCAAAGTGCCCCGCTGCCGGGGCATCATGGGCCATCCGGAGAACCTCCAGCCGCAGTGGCCCTGGCGGGATGTACAGGCGACCGTGGTGCAGCAGGAGGCCCTGATGCAGGACCAGCCCCGGATACTGTGGGCTGGACCCTTCAGCCAGCTCCCGGAGTCGTTCCTGGGCCCAAGCGTCGACCCGCTGCTGTTCCCGCACCCGAACCTGCAGTGGCTGCGCCTCCTGGGTGGCCAGGAATGCGGCCGGAGGTAGGATCGTGGCGGGTTCTGCTTGCTGTACCGTGTCTGCGTTGTCTTCAGGTTTCCGGGACAGGGCATCCGCCTTCAGATTCTGAGAGCTAGGGATGTAGCGGATCCGAAACTGGAACCGGGAAAAAGAACAACGCCCACCGGATCTGTCTTTGGTTCAGCTTGCGGGTGGTCTGGAGGTACTCCAGGTTCCGGTGGTCGGTTCTTACCTCCACCGGATGTCGTGCCCCCTCAAGATGGTGGCGCCAGACCTCAAAGGCTACCTTGATGGCCAGTAGTTCCCGCTCCCACACAGTATAGTTACGCTCCGCTGGTAGGAGCTGGCGGGAATAGAAGGCACAGGGTAAGAGTGGCGCTTCGGGCCCAATCTGTTGGGACAAGACGGCACCGAGAGCCGTACTGGAGGCGTCGGTCTCCACCACAAAGGGTCGAGAGGGGTCAGGATGTTGTAAGATTGGTGCCCTCTGGAAACTGGCCTTCACCCCCTGAATCGCCTCCTCTGCCTCATTGTCCCAGGAAAGCTGCGTCTTTGGGCGCAGGAGCCGGGACAACGGGGTGGTGCGATGAGCATAAGCAGCGAGGTAGGTCCGGTAGTAATTGGCGAACCCCAGGAAGCGTTGTAGGTCCTTGCGGTTCCGGGGTGCCGCCAATTCTTGTACCGCTGTCACCGTCCCCGGGTCCAGTTGCACCCCATCCGGAGAGAGCCGGTGACCAAGGAAGTCCACAGTCCGCTGATGGAACTCGCACTTGCTGAGCTTTGCGTACAATCGGTGCTCACGCAAGCGCTGCAGCACGGTCCGGACATGTCCCTCATGGCGAGCCGGGTCACGGGAGTAAATCAGTATGTCATCCAAATACACCACCACGTACTTGTCTAACAAGTCCTGAAACACGTGGTTGATGTAGCGTTGGAACACAGCAGGCGCGTTGCACAACCCGAAAGGCATAACCAAATATTCGAACTGCCCGTACCGGGTCCCAAACGCTGTCTTCCACTCATCCCCGGCTCGGATCCGAATCAAGTTGTAGGCAAACCGGAGGTCCAGCTTGGTGAACACCTGTGCCCCTTGCACCCGCTCCAGCAGCTCCGAGATAAGGGGCAAGGGGTATCGGTCTGGGACGGTAATTTTGTTCAAGGCTCGGTAATCATGGCAAGGGCGGAGTTCCCCACATTTCTTCTTAACGAAAAGCACTGGTGCCGCGGTAGGCGAGGTGGACGGCCTAATGAACCCACGCTCCAGGTTCTTGCGCAAGAAGTCCTGCAAAGCCTCGCGCTCTGGCTCTGTTAGAGAATATAAGCGACTCACTGGTAGAGGCGCTCCGGGTTGGAGGTCTATGCCGCGGTCAAAGGCCGATGCGGCGGCAGCTGGTCTGCCCCCGTTCCTCGAACACGTCCTGGTAGTCCTGATACACGGCTGGGAGCGTGGGTGCTGCCTCCTCTGAGGGCGCGGCCGCCAGCGTCCCAGTTGAGCATGGGAACATGGGTCTGGGAAGTGCACGGTCCGTTTGACCCAGTGAATCTGAGCGTTGTGGGCTTCCAGCCAGTCCATCCCGAGCACCAGGGAAGCGGGGCATAGAGGCAATGTCCAAAGTTCGCAACTCCCGGTGCTGCTGGAAACACAGGACCAGGGGCTGGGTCTCCTGAGTAACGGCACCTGAACACAGAAGTCGTCCGTCAATCGCTTCCACCTGGACCGGTACTGGCTTGTTCCGAGTGGCACCTGATGATGGGCGGCAAAAGCAGCGTCCATATAAGAGCGGGTTGCCCCTGAATCCACCAAAGCATGGGTGGGGATCCAGGGCCCACCTGGAGGGTATAAACGTACCGGAACCATAAGATGTTGCGAGTCCATTGATGCAGGCCCATTCTGCGCGGTTTGGGACCCCCGGCAGCTAGGGCCATCAGCTACTGGGGTTGGCGGTTTCCCTGCGGCTGGCGTTTCTCAGGGCAAGACCGAGCGAAGTGTCCACTTCCGCCACAGTAAAGACAGAGATTTCCCTCCCGGCGCCGCGCCTTCTCTGCGGGGAAAGGCGTGGCCGCACTGCCCCGAGCTGCATAGGCTCCTCCGTTAAATCAGTTGTGACCGTGGGGCTGCCGGAAAAAGCTGG